AATTTTGATATGAAAGATCTGGGTGAAGTAAATGCAATATTGGGAGTTAAAGTTATAAGGAGTGAAGATGGACTAATGTTGTCTCAAGAACATTATGTTGAGAAACTCCTTAAGAAGTTTGAATTTTTTTTAATGTCACATCTGTGAGCACTCCTTTTGATGCTAACTCTCAGTTGAAAAAGAATAATGGCGACCCAGTTGCTCAGTCTAAATATGCTCAAATTATTGGGAGTCTGATGCATTTAATGAATTTTACAAGGCCTGATATAGCCTATGCTGTGTGTATACTGAGTAGATATACTCATAATCCCAACAGAGAGCATTGGTCTGCATTAGATAGACTAATGAAATAATTGAGAGGAACCATGAATTATGGTATCCGTTTATAGTGAAATTTCCTCTAATTTAGAAGGGCACAGTGATGCAAACTGGATCTCTGATTCAGATGAGATAAAATTCACTAGTGGTTATGTATTCATCCTTGGTGGTGGTGTCGAATATCGTGGAATAGCTACAACGATCCATTGCTAGATCGACTATGGAATCAGAGTTGTAGCTCTGGAGTTAGCTGGTTCTGAGGCTGAGTGGCTAAGAAACTTCATAGCTAATATCCCTTCAATAAAGGACGTATTGCCTCCTGTGTCTATACACTGTGATTGCCAAGCGGCAATAGCTATAGCAAAGAATAAATCTTATAATTGTAAAAGTAGACACATAAAATTGAGACATGATGTCATAAAACAGTTGTTGAGAGATGGAATAATTTTCATTGACTATGTGAAGTCAGAGATAAATTTGGCCGATCCTCTGACTAAACCCGTGGGAAGAAAATTAATTCTTCAAACCTCAAAAAAGATGGGGTTAAGGCCGACATGTTGTCAATAAAGATGGTAACCCAACCTATGTGATTGGAGATCCCATGAAGTAGGTTCAATAGATAATAACAAGTCGATATTGGCACTGAAGTACTAAAAGAGAGTGCTTAACTGCTACTAATTGAGAGGCTGAGTTATAACTCTTAATGAAATTCATAGTCCTTATGGATGGTGTACTTAAAAGCAGTATACACTTGATGAATTCACCTATATGAGAGTGGAGTGGGCCGCTCCTATGAGATTTTGGCCTAGTCTCTAGAGCTCTCGTGAATAACCAGGCACGCGCATGGCCTATTGGGCGCAAAACCGCGTTGAACAGCAAAATTACCGGGGTCGAAATGTGATTGATATAATCTCTGACTTACAATAAGAACTATTGGTTCGTAGAAATATTATATTTCACCAGTAATTCTGTGAGTTAAAGTTTACTGATCTAAGTTTGGTTCATAGTCCAAAAGACACCAAACCTATTGCATTTGGACCATACAAATCCAGCAAATCTTACTCTTCTTTGTATGAATTTTTTGAAAATATTTGGGGGAACTATTGTAATATTTTCCAAAAAATGGACAAGTGTTTAACCATGTGGCAACTTGCCTGGAAAGTCATAAACAAGTGTCAAGTATTTAACCATGTGGCAAATTGCATGCAAAGTTACAAACAAGTGTCATACACTTGGCATGACCTAAGCCCCTCAATTAGCCTATAAATAGGCCTACAAGTAGACATCATGGAGCAGCACATTCTTCACTTTGCTTCTTTCGTTTCTTTTCTTCCTCCTTAAAACATATATTGTCTACTTTGTTTTGTTCCCTCTTTTAAAATAGCTTGGTTTGTAATTTACTATTTTGCTGATTCCTGTATCCTCCTTAATAGAGGTAGGCTTGTTTAATCCTGGGGAAACATTTCACATTGCTGAAATAGTTTCTTAGGACAGTGCCTAGCACGACTCAAGCCAGTTCTGTATCCGTTCACAAATAGTATTATTGCAGTATTATTATTATTATTAGTTTTTCGGTGTTATTTCCCTACAGAAAGAAGAGTTGTCTCTTGCTTGAAGAAAGAAAAGATTAGAAAGGTGCTTCCTTGATTTTCAATATAACCATTACAGTGTCCAAGAAAATGGAGAAGAGCAATTTGATTCCTCTAGCTCTTTTTATTATGGCCAATGATCATGAATCCTTCTACCTTATTTTGGGATGAAAATAACAAAGCTATTAAAATATTTTTTCGGCATTGATCTAAAACTCAAAATGTATCCTTTCGTTGTCCCCACCACCTAGCTTCGCCAGGAGACACCAGTTGGATTCATGGTAGGACGAGCCGTATTTGGGTTTGGCTTCAGATCTTCTTGGTGGAAAATATTTCTTACTAATTTGTTTAAAATGTAGTTGAGGTACTATTGTAGTTGTGATTCATTTGATTTTCGAGTTTTGCTGGAATTTGATCGAAAGATATTAAATTTCCCTTTAAGAATATGAGGAGGGGAAGGAGGTTCTGGTTCAGAAATATTATAACAGTAGACCTAAAGATTGACAAAGTTCTACACGAAGCTTGAATTGCCATAAAAGATGGAGAAGAAAATTTCAAGTCAATCCAAAAAATGCAGGGAAGAAGGGATAATAAAAGGGAAAAACGATAATTTTTATTTTCTAAAGGATTTTAGTGTTTCTCTAAGAAAATGCTAACACCAAAAATAAATAAATTTGATGTCTTCGATCGGAGAGAAGAGTTTGACGAGAATGCCGTATGTATCCTAAGGAAGAGGATGACTAAGAAGAATTATGGAAAAATCTTTTTTTTGTTGGCCTTTTTTTTTTTTTTTTTAATTTCTGACATGTCTCTTATTTTTTGCCGATTTGTAATTTTTTTAATTGGTTTGACATGCCATGTCGAAAGAGTCCCCAGAAAGTGAGATGCACGCACTTGTATTGGTCTGAAAATGTCAAATTTGTATTCAATAGGAACATTGTTTATATACTTTAAGTGTCTAATATGTAATCGTTTTAGTTGAGGTGTCTAAGTGAAATTTGGTGCAACTTTAAGGAGCTACGTATGTATTTAGCCTTAAATTTTCACAAAGTCTTTTAGTCTAAATAAGGAAAAAATTATATAGCTATTCTAGGAGCCTAAGGGCCGATATATAAGAGCCCAAGGACCAACTTAAAGATCGTAAGTGCCGATGCATAAGAGCCTAAAGGCCAACTTCGAAAGGCTTAAGGGCCAAAAACATATTAGGGTAAAAATCACTGTATACCCATCTATAGAAACTCTTTTCTCTCTATGCCTAAATATAAAAATTACACAGAAAATCCTTACATAATTACAGCGTATACCCATTTATTAATATACAAAATCCTAACTATCAATATTTTAGGGGATAATATCCCTTGAATGTAGCCATGATTATTGCACGTGTATGTAAAGAATATTATTAAGATTCACATCTCTCCTAATCAAAACCTATTTCTCTTCTCCACCATATTTCTTTTTTTTTTTTTTCTAGTGTACAAGTTTTATGTAATTCAATAAAACTTCATCATTTATAATGAAAGATATACCAATCATGATTCAACATGGTGGAGTATGGGATAGCGACAACTAATCATACTCCATTCGTTTAAAACTTGGACCAAAATTAAACAACATAAGAGAAGATTATTTATTAAATAAAACTTTTTATTATGGAAACTTAGTCTTTATTTTCTTCTATACAATACAAATTTATACAATAATTAACTAGCCATTGTATACTATTAAAGTATGTTAGTATTCCAATAAAAAATAAAATATATATAATAATATTCCAATAAAATGAATGTATGTTTAGTTTGAATACGATATTCCAAATTCGAATATTATGGAATCTTTCGTTTGAATAATATATTTCAAATTAGAATATTATGGTATGTTTAGTTTGAATATTGTGTTCTTCATTAGAAATATCATGGTACGTTGGTTTGAATATTATATTCTTCATTAGAATATTGCAATTAGGCATGTTTTAATATTGAATTTCAAATTAAAATATTGTGGTATGTTTTGTTTGAATACTATATTCCAAATTAGAATATTGTAATATATTTTATTTGAATATTGTACTTTTATTAAAATATTGTAATATGTTGGTCTGAATATTATATTCTAATATTGTATTTTGATTTGAATATTGTATTCCAAATTAGAATATTTTCACTTTATTTTAGTTATTCTTTTTATTACATGATGGAAGAGAAGAATAAAAAGGATGGAGGAATCCATTGGACGAACAAATGGCGAAGAAGTATTATCTTGTCCATAATAAATCTGCATTAGTGCAATTAAATCTCAGTTCTAAAGTACTCCTTCATCAATTAGTTGATCAACGATACTTTCAATAAAAGACTACTGGACTCATGGAGTCATGGTCAAATCGTCTTACCTAGTCAAGAAGCAAAAATAACCAACGAACTCAAGCTGATGTCGTGTATTAATTGTATATATATTTTTTTCCTTTAATGAAAAATCCTAAAGAATGTGACTAAAATTAATGATGTTTTGGTTTTTAAAATTCTGAATGTTTGTTTTGGGCTAAGGACGTTCAGCATGCCAAGATTTTGTTTGACCGAAGATAGAAGATAGAGAATCAGTTAGAGATAATCTAGTTCCTTGAAAGGTGGAATTTGTTTAATGGCATTTAATGATATTAAAATTTTAAAATGAAATAAACTTTTATAAAGTAGGTATACAGGGTAAAATAAATATTTTAAAAGTATATGGAGTTAACTAATGTTTCTAGTAGGCATACCGCGTAGATTTCTCAACATATTATACGAGGCTCCGTTCTCACTCTACCCGAGTGCAAGGATCATGATATCTCAAAATTCACATCGGATCGATTCAAATTTGGCTCGAGGATTATTGTACCTATCGATAAAGACCTAAAGATTTATTCCCAAGTCCGAGCCAATTCTCGGACCAATCATTCAGGTTATGCAAAAGAATTATTCCGTAAATAAAGACAACATGAAATCCAGCACAAGTCAAAAATGAGATAACAAGTTCCTCGTATATTTCCAAAGGATGATTACAAGGAATACTTAAATAAAGGACACTTGCACAAAAACAAATCTAGGAAATCTAAAACTACTTCGGAGACACATCTTCGGCAGCCGCGTCCTCGAGGGCCTCATCCTCAGGAACTTCATCTTCATCCTCTCCACTCTCAGAGCCACTGGCAAAATCATCATCATCGGAAAGCAGAGCGGCAGCCTCTTCTTCCAAAATCTTCGCCCTTTCGATATTGTTTGAGAGATCGAAGCCACGAGCATGTACCTCCTCAAGGGTTACCCTCCAATATTGACGCCTAGCATGATCAAGTGAATTCGATAACTTAGCTTCTGCTGCAGAAGAGATCTCCTTTGCCCGAGCATAAGCCGCTTCAGCATCGGCTCGATACGAAGACATAATTGCATCAGCATCAGATCTGGCCTTAGCCAACTCAGCAGTAGATTTAGCTTTAAGCTCCTCGATATCACGGCCTCGAGCTAGGCTCTCCTCCTTCACACTTTGAAACTGACGTTCGAGGGAAGCCAACTCTTCTCGAAGAGTTTCTTTCTCAGAGGCGAGATTGTCCATGATTTGCCTCCACCCCAAGGACTCGGCCTCTTTCATTTTAAGCTCCTCCTGAAGCTGCGCCACCAAGTCGGCCTTCTGATAAAACTGCAAAAATTAAAGGTATTAGACGTCAAAACAAGCAAGTTCATAACAGGCCCTCAATGGCTATATTACCTTCTCAACATACTTGGCCCGTCCTTGGCAAGCCTGCATCAATTCAACTCGAAGATCGCTGATCTCCACCTCTTTCTTAACATAGAGGGTTTTAAGATCGTCCCTCTCTTTCGAAATCCTTTTAAGCTCAGCCTCACATCAAGCAAGATCAGTTCGAGACTTGGAAAATGCTTTTTGTGTAGTACCACAGCCTTCATAAAAAAAGGAGGAAAGATGGATTCAAAACAGCAAAAACGTAGGCGTAGGCATCACAAACAGAAAACTCACTTGTTTGTAGAGTCTACGGGCCTCATCAAAAATGAAAGAAGCATCTGGGTCCTAATGGCAACTTATGAAAAGGAGAGTACGAGACAACAAGAGGGTCTGTCAGAGAGGTTGTCATATACAGAGTCTGACGTAGTAGCGGACAACTTTGAATTGAGACTGAAAGCATCAAGCTCAGCAGTTTATGTTTCACCCATTTTTTATGTTATATACGCGGACTTCGTTCCTATATCTCTTCCATTAAGGTAGACAGGTTGGGAATTAATGATTGGATTTATCTATAAAGATTTTGGATTTGTTCATAATGATCAAATTATATCTGGTAAATATTCAATTATTAGTAGGAATATTAATGTATAAATATTTCTATTTAAGAGAACCAGCTAAGCTAGCTGTCCTCTTGTCGGGGGCCAGCATTATTTTTTTATGCATGAAAATAAGAAGACATTTAGCTTTTCGACTCTCTTTCTTTATTTATTTCAGCATGAGTCTAATGATTGGATTAGTCTCTTCGCCAAGTAAAGGGACTGCATTGGACTTGTTCGGGTTATTAATTTTTGTCCCGTTTAAGCTGAAGCATAAGAATGACGGATTTGTGTCCAGCGTGTGATCACAACCTGTACCATATTTCTTTTTCTTGGGGGCCCTGTGTAAGGGCGGACGGGAATGCCAACCCCTCTAAATCAGTCTTCCTCCGCCCGAATCGGAATCAAAGTAGTATCCACCTTCTTCCTTTGCCGGTATCCTAAGATCGATCTCTTGACTAAGTCATTTCACACGTTGCACTGAGAACAAGGGACTGATCCTGTACCGTGAAAGAAGTCTTCCTCCTTGAGAAGGCAGCCTTTCTATCATTTAGTGGATAATTCCTTGCTCCATTCCGCTTAAGGTGGCGCGCCTTAGTCCCATAAGCTTATGCCTATACCTGCTTTCCCTTGAAATATACATAGTAAACCACTTTAAACCGCAGTTAGTCTTGGCCCAACTCTGCCCGGGGGTTGGCCTTTTAAGGCTTATTTCACTTCTTTTTTTCTTTGAATCGCCCCGTTCTTCTGATCTCCTCTTGTCTGCTTTCTTGCTCATGCCAATGCCTAACAAAACAGTTAAGAAATCTGCATGGGATTCTGTACCAAGAACATCGGCTTCTCATGTCGATCTTCCGTTTGGCCAATTGGACAGCGTCATCTTCGTTTAGTTTACTATTCAATGTCTCCCAATCCCTAGTTGTACAGGTACAACCCAGAAGCTTCCTCTTTTATCAATGACTAATAGTACACATTGTATGATTGAAAACTGTCGCTGCATACTACCCGGTGCTTGCAGGTCTGACTGGTGCCTTCTCTCCAACAGCTGCTTCAATCAATGTTAAGTCTGACTACGCCCGCAGCTGACTACTTATTGAAAGACCGAACAGGAAATGAAAATCGTACCACAACAACTGTAAATAAACATTCCCTCCCCGCTCTGACTTTGATCGACTTGCCCGCATAACGTCTTTTTTGAGAGAAGAGGTCAAGGGGATAAATGACTCTCGAAAGTCGTCAATTTTGGCTAAGAACTCAGAAGTCAAGTTTCATTCAAATTAGTTAATAATTAATCGTTTTGACTGACTGTTTTTACGTAAATGATAAGTAGAAAAGTGGTAGGAACTAGAATAAATAGTGCAATAGCAATAAATTCAAGAATATTTACTTCCATAATCTCATCGGTTTTTTACTTCGCAATAACTCGGGATTTAATCCCATAGAGATGATAAATCTTTGGCCTGTAAATTCAATGAATGAATATTACCTCTCGATGATCTTGAATCGGATCAATATCATGAATAACAATATCTGAACTATCAAATCAATTCAAAATTTGAAAATCAAGCAAGGAAAACCCCTTTGAATTTTATTCTTCACGTCCAGGATTACGTCCGGATTCAAGATAATTTTTTTGAAAAAAAGAGAATAGATCATCCATTTTTCTACCGCATATCCTGGTTTGACACCAAGCAATTAAGCTCTTTCTCTAAAAGAAATTTCATAAATACTTTTCTACTAAGAGTTTGTCATTAACCAAAACTTTTTTATATACACAATTAGGTATTGTGAGGAGCCTAATAAGGTCTTTCACTGGAAAGGAAAGCGTCAAAAAATAAGGAAATAAGTTAAGCCGGATTTCTCGTGACTATCCAAGAATTTCAATAATTGAATCGAGGTTTCAAACGGTAAAGCTTATCTGATTTTATGTATTTTAGAATTTTTCTCGAATAAATCATGAATTTTCTAGGATATTATTAAGGATCTCATCGAAAACTTACAGCAGCTTGCCAAACAAAGGCTAAGAGAAAAAAAACCAGAGGTATGACTGCATAATATCTACGATTGGATTCAAAAAAGCATAGGCCTCGGGCAATTTGCCGAAGAAAAAACTACTCGAAAAAAGGGTCGAATTAAGATAGATACCGATCAAATTAAAGGTATTAAGCATAAGGCATTCTCGAAAGATGTCATGTCCTTCATGGCTTGCTTCCACTCTAGATGACCTCATATTCTGAGCGTCTCGGATTTGCCCATCGGAGAACTAGGGGCCAGGAGGTGAATCATCTACATTGATTACCCCAAATGATACACTTGGGGAGTTCTCTTTGTTTTGACAAGGCTCGGGGTTGGACCGTTTGGCCTCACCCTACAAATGGCCTCCTAGGCGATGTGCCTTTTGAACTCCCCTCGGAGATTTCTTCGACTCCGGAATGAGCCACGCCGACCTTCACCGGCTCAACAGACTTCGAAGCACCGGCATTGTTTCTTTGACGGGCTACCAATAGGCAGTCGTCATCTTCTTCTTCCTCCTGATCCCGAATGCGTTGGGCCTTTTCCGTAGATTAGACCGCCGTATCGACCTTGGACCTTCGAGCCACGTTTTTCTTAGGCTTAGGGAGATTTGCAGGCGACTCTCTTTTTCTCTTTCTTTCTTTAGGAGACGTCGGAACTTCTTCTTCATCATCCGGAGCTGGACGCATGGCAACAGCGTCTCCAAGACCTATACAAAACCGAAGTAGATATACCATAAAGAGAAGTACAAGAAAACAAACAAGGGAGCTCACCATGAGTTTTTGCCTCACATCGACCCTTGGCCAAATCTCGCCAGCAACGCTCCGAGTAAGAGGAAGCGGAAGCCAGCTTTCGGACCCAGCCTTCGAGATCCGAGACTCAACCAGGAAACCAAGCAGTGGTTGCACCATCGGAAAGGGGTCAGACCAAGAAAAAGGATGAAGCTGAGAAAAAGAAAAGGAAACAGGATATAAACCTGCTATGTACTTACGTTTCATGTTCTACTCCTCGGGAAACGACATCCAATCAACAGGAATAACGTAAGAGGTCCTGATTCAGACAAAACGACTCATCCACCCTCGGTCTTTGTCCTCGTCGATGCTACAGAAGAGAGATTTTAGGGATCGGTGTTGTAATTTTAGAAAGCCGCCGCGATAAAGTCGAGGGCTATACAACCTGATCATATGGTCGAGGGTAAAAGACATCCCCTCGACCTGGCTCGAAAAGAACCTGATCAGGTAAACGATTCGCCAATATGAGGGGTAAATCTGGCAAAACGTCACTCGGTATCATTGACAAAACTCGAGGATAACTGGATCTATTGGACCCTGAGCCGGAATTACAGGGCCCATCGTGAATAGGTTGGTATATACGCTTAAGTACCCCCGCTTAATATGTAGTGATGTCCTCATCGGAGGAAGGAATCACTACTTCTTTATTATCCCACTTCCAGTCCTCCTTTACTTGCCCAAAGTTCGGCCTTGGTTATCAAACAAACATATCGAGACATGGGCTTGCATCGGCCTGGTGTCGACACAGGTTTCTCAATTTTGAAATCAAATGTTATTTCACATGGCGGAGGGATGCACTCCTCAATACGAGGGGGTATCACCGTTTTGCTCTTGGTCGGTCGAGAAGATGAAGAAGCTTTTTCTTTTTGGGGAACCGGTTTAGAGGTTTTAGCCATCGTGATGCGAAAATTCAAGAAAATGGAGAGTGTTGATAGTGAAGTAAGAGCTAATAGAAGAGAAGGGAAAATTCAGATAAATTGAAACGGCTAATGAGACTTTGAGAACAATATGAGAATAAAATTTGTAAGGTGGTGAAGTTTATCTATTTATAGAGGTCATTTAAGTGTGCTAGGGAAGCCAAAAGGCCGACCATTAGCCGCCTCCAATTAATGACTTTGGGAATCGCACAAAAGGCAACCTTTCAGTCACTTCAGCCATTGATGGCACGATAGTGGCATCAGGATCAAGGCGTCAAATACTAATTCATCGAAGATTATAACGGGCAGCCTATAAATCGAGTTCGAGCAGAGTATCCACTCGATTGCTGAGCCCAAGGGCTACCCGAGTCCGAGAAATTTCCCACTCGGGAACTACAAAAAAGACTAAGGGCTAACTTTATTATAAGTTCGAGCAAATGCTCGCTCGACTACTAAGCCAAAGGGCTACCCGAGTTTGAGAAATTTCTCATTCGGGGACTACAAAAAGGCCTAAGGGCTAACTTTATTTCAAATTCGAGACCTAAGAGTTACTATATTGATCGATTAAAAACCTAAGGGTTTATCCGGTATTTGGACTAGCCATTAAAGTTATACAATTAAGTTTTACAAGTGAAGATAGAATAAAATTCTACACGAGCCAAAGGGGAAACAAAGGGATCCTTTTTATTTCCAAGAGATGGTTACAAAATATAACTATAACACCCACGAAGGGTACTTACACGGGAAAAAAGAAGCAAAAAACAACCTAATCTACTTTTAAGGCCACGTCCTCGAGAGCGTCATCTTCGGGAGCCTCCTTCCCAGGGGCCCCATTTCGATCCTCGGGAATGTCTACGTTCCCGAAGAGATATAGAGCAGAGAGCCCTTGATGAATGTAACTATATTTCCAGCAGTGGGGATTGAGCATTCTGTTGAGATTTTGGGCCATTATCTGTTAAAAAAGAGCAGCAAAAGAAAAAGACCAGACTGGAAGAGATGAAGACGTAGCTTCGCCTTCTATCAAAAGAAAAACCAAAAAGGTTGCTCTATGCACAAACAACGATCCAAGAATGTTCATCCTTGGGATGTTGTTCCGGTGTGGGATGCAAAAGTTAATAGATGATAGTGCCACCTCATCCCACAGAAAGTGAAAGGAATTGAAGTGCCACGCCAGGATTGTAGACATGTGATTTTTGACCCTCCCCAAGATTTTTTATATTTTAGCATGTAAATGTTTAGTTTAGGCCTAATATCGCTTTTTCAATTAGTTTTGACTCTTTTACTTTATTTTATCAAAAAATTACAAAAATATTTTATCTTTTTAGTTGCTTTTAGTTTATTACTTTTCGTAAAACTAAAAAATACAAAAAAATAGTACCTTATTTTTATTTTAATATGATATTTGAAAATACCAAAAAAAAAAGGTTTGTTTTAACGATTAGTCTTATTTTAATACTTATTTTACTTAAGTAGGAATAATTGGTAAATGAGATCGTATTTTTAGCCTTGTTCACGGAGAAAGAATAAAATTTGGGCTCAAACAACCCATTTTTAAGCCTAATTTTCGGACCTAGACAATAATAACCCAAGCCCAATACCCCTAAAATCCTAAAAAGAGACTTAAAAAGGACAACCCTAGAGACCTATAGAGGGACAAGACCTAACGCCTAAGGAGCTAATGCCTAAAACCTAGATCCCTACCAAGAAATCCGTAATACATAATTGGCACCCCCCTACCCGTTCTTCTTCCTCAAGCAGCAACATTTCCACCCAAACCCGCTAGAACAGACCCTCCAACCACCTTATCTCAAAACAACAACCAGCCACACTACCAAGATCAACCACCATCAGCCTCCAACAACACACACAACACGAGCGATCAGATTCCTCACCTCTATCGCCACTCCATCTCCCTACTCCAAAACGAGACCCAAAAACCTCAGAAGACCACCCTTCCAGCGCTGCTCCTTCTTCTTCTAACAACCGAAATCAGCGACTGTCACGACCCAATTCCATAACAGGTCATGATGGCACCCAACGCCATAACTGGGCAAGCCAACGCGGAAAATATTAACTAAACTTTCAGCACCTTTACCCCAAAATAGTTGAAATAATTCTTTAAGTTGGAAATAACTCAAAAACGATGAATAAAATCATGATAATCATACAACCCCAAAATAATACTGTCTACTAATGTGTGTGCCAAGACCTGGTGTCACAAGCAGTGGGCAACTAGTAGAATATACAACAAAAGCACACTATCCTACTGTCTGAAACAGAATAGACAGTATAAATACATAAGAAAGACTTCTTCAAGCTACTGAACGGCACAGAAGGGAAGCAACTCACCGTAGAAGTCTCGAATCTGCTCAGAGATGCACACCAGACCGATAGCCAGATGTATCTGCCTCAGACCCTGTACAATTAAGTACAGAAGTGTAGTATGAGTACATAAACAATATGTACCCAGTAAGTATACCGTCTAATCTCGAAGAAGTAGAGACAAGAGGTCGACTTGATACCTAATAGGGTCAAATAATGTGATAAGAGTTCATAATAAGCATGGATTTCACATGTTATTAACATTTAATAATCATGGAATAACGGTTCTTTCCCAAGTATTTTCATGGATATTCACATATAGTTCAAGCAGATATGAAATTCAGTCCTCAGAGAAATTTGCTAAGAAAAACATGCACAAGTAACACCGTTGGACGTACGGCCCGATCCAACATAAAAGTAAATTATGCACTGCCGAGGGTCGAACTGCTCGAACCATAGATGCATCTATTACCCCGCTCGTGAATCACCCGTGCGACGCGGTCACATATAAATAAGCTCATCAACAAGCAACGATAATATATATTTGAGGAGTAGTTATACGCAGAAATACCATATATTCTCTTTTAAAAGGCCAAACAGGATAAAGTTCATTCACTAGTCTCATTCTTCTTAATCAAAATAGTTCATACGAATCCGAATTTATCATCACGTTACGAGAATATCACGTAGAGCATGCTTATGGGTCCTAGACTACCCGGACTTAACATAGTAGTCGCTACGCACGAACTATCGTCACCTAGTACGTACGTAGCCCCCGCATATAATGGCAATTAATTCAATTATTGTACCTATGGGGATAATTCTCTCTTACAAGGTTAGAAAGGAGACTCACCTCGCTCCAAAGTGCACTTCCAATACCAAGAACAAGTCCAAGCCCTCAATTCGGAGCCGAACGATCCCAAACTAGTTAAACGAAGTAAGAACTAGTCAATATAGACTCACAAGATTGAATTCTGGCTATTTAAGAAATTTTTCAACCATTAACGCAAGTTTCCTAAAATCCGACCCCAAGCCCACGCGCCCAGATTCCGAAATTTTTGAAGGAAGTTGTTCTCTACAACCTAAAGATCAATAATATATGATTTCTAATTAATTCCATAATGAATTTTGTGGTTAAATCTACGTTTTATTAAAACCCTACGTTTTTTGCTCTAACCCCATGATTTCACCTTAATGCTAGTGTTTAATCTACCTAAGATAATGATATTGAACTAGAAATAGGTAACACACACTTACCTCAAGATGCTAGGTGAAGTCCTTCTCTCAAAAGCTCCAAAATCGCCCAAAGGAGGAGTGGAAATGTGATAAAAATGACTTAGAACCCGTAATAAATGAACCTCACTGCCCAGCGATTTCCTCATCTGCGGTCAGGGGACCGCATCTGCGGTCCCGCATCTGCGAGGAAAGGGCCGCATCTGCGAAAAATGGGCCAAAGAGGTGGGACGGCATCTGCGGTCTCCAGGCCGCATCTACGGAGCCGCTTCTGCGGCTTGGGAGCCGCATCTGCGGTTGGGCCGCTTCTGCGATGGGAGGACCGCATCTGCGGTCTCGCACCTGCGGTCCAAGAACCGCAGATTTGGTTATGACAGAAGCAGCAACCTTCAGCCCTTCTCAAAATTTTCCACTTTACTCAAGCCTCATTCGATTGACGCTCGGGGCTCCCGAGACCCGTCCGAACATACCGGGAAGTCTGAAATCACGAAACGGACTTACTCGAACCTTCGGAATGCCCGAAACAACGATAAATCTAAGAATCACCCCCTAAAACCAATTGAATCAAACCTTTGAACTTCATGTTCTTAATTTTTCCTCTAACGGGCCAAAACGCCTCTAAACTACTCGGATTGACACCAAATTTTACGGACAAGTGCTAAATGATATTTCGTGCTTCGGAACCAGCATACGAGCCCGATACCCATGAAATCAATGATTACTTAGTTTCTTTAAATCCTTAAAAGTTCAAATTAACAATTTCTTATAAAAATTCATTACTCGGGCTAGAGACCTCGGAATTTGATTCCGGGCATACGCCCAGGTTCCATATTTTCCTACGGACCCTCCGGGACCGTTAAATCACGAATCTGGGTCCGTTTGCTCAAAATATTGACCAAAGACAAACTTAGTCTTTTAAGAAATTTCTAAGGAATCAAATGAGCACATATCACTCAAAACTCTTCCAAATCCCGAACTAAACCGTACCCCGCC